CTCCCCCCCTGGCTTGTGCTCTCTCTCAAATAAATAAAATCTTAAAAAAAAAAAAGATTTAAAAAGTATAATCTAACTAAAACACAACATTCCTTAGATAAGCTAAGATGAAATCCGGGAGGAAAAGGTTAAGTTTTGAGGTGGAGATCGTGTTGTCTAAGAGTGCAGAGAAAACCTGGGCATTGTCCTCCTCTAAAGACTTCTTAGGTATGCTGGATCTCCTGCCCTACTCGGTATCTTCTTAGCTCTGGCCTGGACCTCTAGCCAAGTACTTTCCATACAGATCTTGGAATGATGGGTTTATGTATCTAAACTGATAGCTTCTCATTTATCCTTGCATCTCCAGGGTTCCTTCCACAAAGTAAGTTCTTTGTACATGTTCCTGGAAGGAATGGATGAGCTTCTAAAGATAAGAAACCATGTCGCATTAGCTTCACAAGCTCTTGGCAAAGATAATGGTGATGCTAATGGGGAAAAAGCTAGGATGAGACTCTGGCTTATAAGTGAAGTTCCCACAGTAGAGCAGTCCTGGAAGCTTAACAAATAAACCCCCAATCTTTCTCTTTCCTTCCCCAGAAGAGATGGTTATCTCAACAGGGTCAACAGAGTCTTTCCCACTTCCCAGCAGGAACTGAGGAGGGAAATGCAAGGTGATAGAAAAGTTCTACCTGTGTGCAAATGATTTGCAGACATTGAGATCCCCAAGTCTTTCTCAGCTTACGGTGCTTCCTTTGACACTTGGTTCCTTATCATTAAGACACTTGACAGGCTTAGCCGCAAAGGTACTAGCACCATTACCTTCCTCATGCTGAAAGCTCTGTGCTTTTCAGAACTCCAGGCGGCAAACTGCGAGATTGAAAACGACCTTGGCTTGTCCAAGAATCCTATCCCTGTGTAAAGGGTGACTTCTCGGAACGGGCCCCATCCACATGGAGGATGTGGAGCAAACTTGGAATGGGGCCAACAGGAACGGCTCAAGACAGTGCAGATGGAGAAAATTGTTATTTAAGGGAGAGTTTTTGGAAATCCTTTTAAACCCAGATTATTAAGTAACATGTGCCGTCCGAGATGGGGTGCAAGGGTGTTTGCCGCAGATTGGGGCTGAAACTTGCTGTCCTGCAGTGCCTGCTCAGCTATCATTCTGGAAGCCTCGGGTGGTAAGGAATATGACTACGGGGCACTCACTAGCACCCAAGCAAGCAAAGAACTTCTGGCTGCCATCCCGGGTCAGACAAGAGTGAATGCTGGTGGCTTTGCTCCAATCCATTGTTTCTTTTTGCTTTTCATGAGAACTCACAGTGAGGCAGAACTCCACACTTACAGGCCTGCTAACAGGTTCATCTGCAACAGAGGGAGCTGGAAGAAGAAGCAGGGGTGACAAGGAAGCTGGCCTCAAGTGGGGAGGTGGGGTGGGGGCCAAAGAGTGGCTGAAATTCTTTCTCCTGCCTCCAAGTGGGGATTGGGCTGACAGCACACTAAGCCCTCTGGTACCTCTCCTAAAATCAGGTGCTGTCTCCCTGACTGGATATAAAATGTCCCCGTATTCCTCCCTGACAGCTTTTCCTCTGAGCTGACCACATTCCTCCTGCATAATGTCATCCCAGTGGAGATGGTGAGCAGCTTGCATATCACCCCTTCCTGATGTCCTCACTCTCAAACTCTGGAAGACACTTCATAGGTCACTGTTGTCTTTCTCCAGCCGAAGTAATCTACAAGAAATGTGGGTCAAGGAGAAGCGGTATTTCCGAAGGTCATAGCTGGTAAACATGCACCTAGAATCATACAACCGCGAGAACAATCAAACACAAAAGAATAAAATATCCTTAGAAATATTGAAAGCCAGCCTCTGATCCTGGCTATGCCATCTACAAACTCTGGGAGGTTGCCTGCCCTCCTTTATCTAGGTTCCTTCATCCTCATCACGGGGCAGGACCACATGATCTGTAATGCTCCTCTTCAGCCAGCTTATGACACTCTTCCATAGGGACAATAAATAGTGTTGGTGAGGATCTAAGATTAGAACCCTCATACACTGCTGTTGGAAATGTAAAATGGTGTAACCACTTTACATTCCCGAAAAGGTTCAATGTCGTGACTGTAGGACCCAGCACTTCTGCCCCTAGGCACATATCCAGGAGAAATAAAAACACCTGGCAATGACAGGGAGGTCCCTGACCTAGTCTCCTCCAAGAGTCTGAAGTAGAGATCACTGCAAGCTCGATGGTCAAACGAGGCGCCAGATTTGGAGAAGGAAAATGCTACCGGCTATGTCACCAACTTCCGTTGTACCGTGGGCAGAAATTACAAACGTCCCTTCCCTCTGCTATTTCTAAGCCCAGATGGAGTCTGCGTATATCCTTTCCTGGGAGAGAACTGGATGTGGTGGTCCCTCTAGGTGTGTGCCTGAAGTTCCTCGGCAGGTAGTGCATCAGACCGTGGGCACAGGCTCAGGGGGATGTTGGGGGAAGGGAAGCTGCTCTAATAGGATGCTACATTTTAATCCAGACTTTGGAGCTCTGAAGGAGCATGCTGTTTGGACTGACCCATTCAGAGCACCCTGAGTCTGCCCTGGATTGTTTATTTTCAGCTTACCCCCTCCCACTTCTGATCGAAAGACCCAAGAGAACGAAATTGTTTTCCGTGGCCAGCGAAAAGTTTTTGAAGCACTAGTGCTCCTCAGGGTCCTGAGTTCTGGAAATGAACTTTTCCCTCTCTCCTTGAGGGCTGGATGGGTAGGACCAATCAGAGGAACTTGTTCTTTTAAGCAGGCCACTGAAAGGTCACCCTCAAGCTTGCCAGACATTTAACTTGGGCTTTGCAATTATTCCTTTTTTAGTATTCAGAGGATCCTTTTCATGAATTTTTCCAGACTCGCTAGGAATTTTTCATTTGAGTGCAATCGGATCAAGTTAAATCAAATTAAAAACCTCAATTTCGCATATAAGATTAGCTAATTTTTTTTTCCAGGGATTGTGTTTTCTCTCTCTGGAAGCCCAAGTGAAAGGACTATAAACAGGCCAAAGGTCTCTGTGAAGTACAAGAGCACAGGGCAGAAGTCAGCTGGGGTCAAGAGCTGGTTCCCCAGGGGCGCCTCAGTGGCTCAGTCGTTGGGCGTCTGCCTTCGGCTCAGATCATGATCCCAGGGTCCTGGGATCGAGCGCTACATCGGGCTCCCTGCTCAACAGGAGGCCTGCTTCTCCCTCTCCCACTGCCCCTGCTTGTGTTCCCTCTCTCACTGTGTCTCTCTGTGAAATAAATAAATACAATCTTTAAAAAAAGAAAGAGCTGGTTCCCCAGCCCCTAGTGGGCTTCTCCCATCTCCGGAGCAGTTATAGAAAGGGGTAGTTTCAAAGGCCTGAGGGATGGGACATTCTTAGGGGCCAAGAGACAATGGAGGACAGCTATCAGGCTTTTCAGCTACTCCCTCCCCAGTCATGCTCCCTCATGCGGGCAAAGGGGCTTGAGTTACACGGCAGCTGGGAGTCCAGTGGTCTTTGCTTAGCTACTGAAATGAGCACACCACCAATGTGTCAGCTACCCCTAAACCTTGGGGGAGACCTCAGATATGCAGCACGTGCCGCTATGGAAGGAGTCAGTGGCTGCCTTCTCACTAGCATGGTGTTGGTATTTACCTGCTTTGGCTTCTCATTCTGTTGCATTCTTCTAGCTTCTTCCTTCATCTGGAATAAGAAAGCACCAGTGAGTCATGATGTCATGTTCAGAGGCAACCAAGGAAGTAGAGACCGAAGAAAGTCAAGGTGAATGGATTGCTGTGGTTTTTAATGCTGGCTACTCATTAAAATCATCTGGGGGGTTACAGAACCTCTGTCCAGGCTCCACCTCTGGAGATTGGTAACTGGAATCAGAGAGTTGGCAATGGGGGACTCCATCTGCATGGAAATGGCTCTCTACGAGATGAGCTGTGACAAATCCTTCCTTGGAATAGCTTCACTCCCTGCCTCAGCACAGCCCTGTCTCATTCAGAAGCAGTCTTTCCTCTGCATCTCCACTGTACCCTAACTACTGATGGCCTATAGCCCCAAGACAGCAGGACTGAAGCCAGGGCCTGGCCCCTGATTTGCGTGGACAGCTTGTGTAAGCTCTGTGAACTCAGGTTACCACACACAGAGGCTGTATTTGCAATGCTAACTGAAATAGAAGCATTTTGTAAACTGTTCAACAGGATTCATATGCTGGGTGTATTTATATGCAGGAATCATTATGACAGTGAGTCTGGAAATCTGACACCTTTCCTCAAGGTTCTATCATAATTGTGTCTATCACTTACTGGTTTTATGACCTCGGTCAAAATGTCCTCTCTGAGCCTCAGTTTCCTTCGCTGGAAAATGAGAATAACAACAGGGTCCCCCACTTGCGTGATCTCTGCTGGGAGGCTGTAAGGGCCATGAGGACGGGTTCTCTGGTGTGTCTTTCCTTGGGCCTTCGCATAGGAGGTGCATAGCACATGTACGTTGAGTGGATGGATCAAGCAGAGGCTCTGGTTCGTTGGGCCAGTGTTTGCCCAGAGGTACCTCGGGAACCCCTACATCAGAGTCACCCCGGGGGTTGGCTGAAACCCAGATTTCCAGGCTACGCTCAAAATCAGAGTCTCTTAGGGTAGAGCCTAGGATACTGCAGTTTAGACTTGTTCCTGACGTGGTTCTGCGGACTTCACTGTCAACCCCGGCTAGGTAAGCTATGGGCTGTGGGCTGGTAAAGGGAATGGCCATCACCTGAGGTGTATGGGGCTCAGGCTGGCTCTGCCAAATGTCTTCTCACCCAATCTCAACTCCCATCCTTTCTTCTTGGCATACCCATATACAGCTCACGAGCTCTTGATAAGGAAGAGCCTCCCACAGAGGCTGGGAAAAGGCCAGCAGATGTGCAACGCTGACGTGGTTGAGATCCCCATCCCACATCTTCCCTGCCAGGACTTGGTGTGAGCCGCCTGTGATGGCAGGAGGCTTGCTGGGGCCTGACACTTCCTTGTTCTCCTCTAGGAGGTACACATCTGGGGCTCCATGAGGAAGACAGCTTTCATCCTGGGCTCTGGCCTTCTCTTGCTTGTGGCCTTCTGGAACACAGTCACATAGTAAGTCTGTGCAGCCAGCTTGCATTCAGAACCTGCGGGCAGTGTGCTGGGGGTCCGGAGGAGGAGCATGGGGTAAGCAGCTATCCACCCACCAGTCTTCACCCAGAAACCCGAATGGTTTTTCTTCCAAGGCATCTTCAGAGATTTTGGGGCACTTCTGGCTATTTTTGGCAAGCCCAGTGGGAGAGGCTGCTGTCAAGATTTGAAGGGAAGGAGTGGACCCTCTACATTATACGTGAGGTTCCCAGACCACGAGTGCTTGGGGTTTGGGTACATGATCATAGCTTAATTCTTTGTCTGTGGTTTTCTTCTCTACTTTGATTTCTCAGCTCCTTATTCCAAGGAATGAAGACTGAAAAGTTTAAGACAGTGGTAATCCCAAAGAGTGCTAATCATAGGCAATCTGAAATGGATGCCTAAGGATATCTAAGAAAAGAACCTGAGACTCCCCTCCCCCCAAAAATAGAAAAATTAAAAAAAAAAAAACCGTGTTTGTGAAAATGAATGCATGTTTAGAGTAATAATCCTGCATCTGGATATCAGGTCCACAAGCACACAGAGCTGCTCTATCTCCCATGAGACTGTGTCCTCACCCCTGGTATAATCTAGCTCTTGGGGCTTGACAGCAAGTGGTCACTTAATAAATATTTACTGACATTGTGAATGACTCACAACAAGCCAAAGAAAATGTGGTGGAAGAAAAAAGGCATAGATATTTATAACAGTGTTACCTACAATGGTGAATGTCCTCAATCACAGGTTCACTCACTCAAAGAATATTTATTAATTTACTCTGTGCCAAATTTTTACAGAGGATGTAGATATTTAAGATAAAGTGTTTACCTCATTTAAAAAACTATGTCACAGGGGCACCTGTGCGGCTCAGTCCGTTAAGCGCCCAGTTCTTGATTTCAGCTCAGGTCATGATAGCAGGGTCCTGGGATGGAGCCCCAGAGCAGGCTTGGCGCTCAGTGGGGAGTCCGCTTGGGATTCTCTGCCTCCCCTCCCTCTGCTCCTCTTCCCCCTTCCCCTGCCTCCCACGTGTACACACTCTCTCAAAATAAATAAATAAATCTTTTAAAAAATAATACTAAAAAAACTATGTCACAGTCTAGAAGGGGAGATTAAAAAAAAATTGCCTGCTGTCACAGAGCAAAAGTACAAATAAAATGTTACTGACAATTGTTTTCAGCTGGAAGAACTCTGAAAACAGGCTAAACATTAGATAGGACAGGTTCAATGCAAGCTGTCATTGAAGAGTCACTGAAAAGAACAATGCAGATTACAAACATATGGGGAAAGTGGTGGGAAAACATTTGATATATTCCTGTTACAATAATGGGAAAACTGCCTTTCAGCCCAATGAAAAGCAAATACAAAGGAGATAAATGTTTGCAGTTTTAAGTGTTACAGCTGGAAAAAAGTGCAAGATCTTCTCTTGCTGGGGCTTTTATTCTGTATTCCTCAAGGAGCCTTTGGATCTATAAGGAGGCGCTACCTTGATGGATGGCCCACTAGCAATCACCAACCTAACATTTTCTTTTTTTTTCCAAAATAAGAAAGCATGAGATTTCTGAGAATAAAAGTAAATACATGTTCATTGTTAAAAATAAACATCAGACGATTCAAATAAGCCTAAAGAAAGTGAAAATCACCCACTCTCATATCCAAGAAATAACCACAGTTAATATATTAGTATAAATTGTATAAATAGTATATAAATTAGTATAAATATAGAAGAATCTATATTGGATATATGGGTGAACTTATAAGGTACCAACTATTTTTTTCAGTCTCCTTAAGTGTTCTATTGTGATTTTTTTAATGCACTAATGGATGTATATGTGTATGGACATGTGTGGCCTTTTTCTTTATTTCTTTCCTTCTTTTCCTTTCTTTCTTTCCTTCTTTTCTTTCTTTCTTTCTTTTTTTCTTTTCTTTTCTTTCTTTCTTTTTTCCCCCGTTTCTGTCACTCTCTTTTTCTTCTTTGGATACTGCCAAATTGCTCCCTATTTCTTCTTTGGATACTGCCAAATTGCTCCCTAAGATATTGTGTTAATCATATTTCCCCACAGTGCTGGCCAAGTATTTTTCGGGCCCCAACTGCCACAGGCCCTGGGGTTTCTGGTAGGGGCAAGAAGATACCCTTCTTGAAGGGCTCTCAACAGCCAAGTGTTGGCTGTGGGAGGAACAGTACAGAGACACAAAGTAAAATGCCCTTGCCCCTTGGGATATTTAGGAGGAGGCAAGACATGGACAAAGTTAATAGTGTAAGAGTTAGGTAACATTGTATTGTCATTTGAATAACTGCCAATAAGCATGAACAAAGTGCTTGTTTGTTCACAGAGATCAGAGATTCTCGGAATGACTTTACAGGAAGGTGGGATGCAGAGCCAAAAAAAAGCCGTATCTCAATTTTTTAACTGTGGATCAGCAGTTTCTAAAGTATCCTGCAGTGTTTCTAAAGTATCCAGCAGTTTCTAAAGTGTTCCTGCAGAACATCAGTGTTATGGGTTGTGAATAGGTGGGGTGGCCGTACAATTTATCATCCAAAGTGGGACATTTGTGAGAATAAATGAAGTGTTAGTTAATAATTAGGCTAGACTGCCTGATGTAAATTGAAACTGTCTCGGGCACAGCCATCCTATTCTTAGGTGTTCTGACAAAATAGAGTTCCTGGGTAAAAAAAAAGACTGGGAAAGGCTGGGCTTAACAAAGTCAAATGGGTTTCTCTGCTGCAGGAATTCTTAGAGCCATTAGCAGGCTAGTCTGGACCATGGCCCTCCAAGAAAGCGGGGTATGAACACTGTTTAACCAAGGAGCGCCTTAAGAGAGGAGTTTTCCACTTTGGGAACGGCTGGCTAGATGCCTGAAGTCCCACTGCTCAGTTAATAGCGTCATAGGGATTAGATTCCTGACTGACTCCTAGTCCAGTGCTCATTGGGAACCCTATCCTACCAAGCACTTACTCTGCTTCTCCCTTCTTTGGGAATTCATAAAGTGTTCAATGGGCACTGACTCCCAGATGTCAACCTAAATTTATTTGTAGTTTATTTATTCGTTATTGTATTTATGGATTATATATTTATTATAAATTTTATTTCTATTTAACAATTTTAAAATTTTTTTAATTTTTTTGTCTTCAACCACCTAGAAGGTTGCGGTCTCCATTTTACAACTAAGGCCCTCTGGCCTGGAGCACCAAGACCTCCCTGGCAAGGGACTGTCTACCACACAGCCTTAGTCACCGTCAAGCTGTGTTAATACATGTGCTGCAAGAACCTCGAGTCCCCTGATTGTTTCCTTCTGCTCCCCAACCTCAGGTGTCATCGAAGTACCCAGTCTAGTCTTCTGGAGCTTCAGTGGGCTCCTCCTAGTGGTTGACACAACGGGAAAACCTAACTTCATCTCCCGCTACCGAATTCAGGTTGGCAAGAATGAACCAGTAAGTGTTGCGGTGGCTTCTCCTGGGCAAAGCACAGAAGGCAAGAGCGGAAGCCACACTCACAATGCTCACCACAGGCCCAGGAGAGAGCATGGCCACTGGGAGCCAAGTAACTGGGTACAAGGCTCCCCTGGTTGAGAAGGTTGGAGAGAGGAAATAATCTGCCCCAGATCTCAGAGCCAGCCAGGCAGGACAAATGTTCTGGTCTTCTGATTCCCAGCCCTGGCCCTGTGTCTGCCTGTGCCACCCCCACAGCACTGTGGTCAGCATTTGGGGAACCGAAATGATGGGCTAAGCCTGGTACTGGGGTGAGTGCAGAGATGTTCGGCAGCTCCCTGCTCAGCAGCCGGGGTAGGGACAGCAGTGGCTGGATGCCAAAAGCACGGATGACATGGTGACTGGCCCACTGTGGATACAGGGTTCTGAATGTGTGGGCGGTGGCTGCTTTTTAGGCAGGTCCTCCTTCCCAGTCATTCACTACGCCAGTGCGTAGTTTAGCCCCACGAAACAAGGCCTGCACCCTGCTTACAAGGAACTCCTAGCCCAGTAGGGGAGAGAACGCCAGTACACACATCTTCGACTTACACAGCGCTGGAAGGGAGCCCCACTGTGCCCTGAGCCCGGTCACCTGCTTGGTGCTCTGACAACCTCCAAGAGCCTTTTCTTACGCAAGAAGTTTGTTCTTTACCCCAGATTCTTTCCCCAGCTCCACCCAAACCACATTCTGGCTTCTTTCCCAGAGAAGACAATCATCTTTTAATTATCGGCCCAGGTGCCTAGGTGGCTCATCTCAGCATCAGGGCATTCTGCCCCAGCCCAGCACTGCAGAAAGCAGAATGGGTGAAAAATAATGCCCTTGACCCAGGCTTTCAGAGTAGCCCCTTCTTGAACCAGGGCTGCTGGCCAGGCTCACAGCCCCGCTCACCTGAGATGTTAACTGCCAGCCAGCCAGGGGGGCTTCCTCCAGGTCCAGCTCGGCAGGCATGGACTGGGGCTGACGTGTCAAAGCCAACACTTGGCTGTTGAGAGCCCTTCATCTGTCAGACCATGGCGGTCTCCTTATCAGACCCCGTGGAGTAAATGCTCAAGGCCAGGTACTGTCACAACCTTCATGGTTCAGATGAGGAAACAGGCTCTGAGATGTGACATGGGTAGATGATTCATGCTCCAGCTCTCTGACGCCAGGGCTCATGCTCTCACCAGCAGGCCACATCAGCTATCAAGAGTATCACCTACCATGACATTCACTGTGACAGCCTACAGTGGTTGGAAAGCCACACAGGGAAGGTCTGGTTGCATGTTGTAGAAGCTGAGGTTCTGAAAGGAGCAGTGACTAGCTCAAGGTCAGAGTGTCACTAGGAGGCTGAGCCAGGGCTCCTTGTCGTCGGACTCCAGGTCCAGTGCTCCTACAGCGTGGGCCCCCGCAGGCCCCCAGCCCCCTGCCCTGTTTGCTCTCCCGCTCCCCTGGATAGCCAGTTTGCACCTTCTCCTCCCTCCTCACATCCCCAACACCTCCTTCCCTGACCTGCAGGAGGACAGCCTTGCTTCCTCCTTTTTTTTTTTTTTAAAAGATTTTATTTATTTATTCATGAGCGACAGAGGGGTAGAGAGAGAGAGAGAGAGAAGCAG